GGACTCAGGGCGGCTTACAGCATATTAAAACACATAAAACATCGTCCCCCCATAAAAACCTATTAAAAACCAAATATTTTTTTTCGCTGTATAATTAATTAAGATTTAAATTAAAATTGTCCCTATTTAAAAATTCTCCCTAGGCCAGACCCGCTTGTTGAAAAAGCCATGTCTTGAGGGCGCGGCGAAAAGGTAGGAGTTCCCTGACCTGGGGCCTCCAAGGGCTGGGGAAAGACGACGTGGTCTGGAGGTGGGTCTGTGGCCAGCAATACCCGCGTTTGCCCGAAAATAAGACCGGGTCTTATTTTATTTTATTTTTTTGCCTCCAAAAGAGGCACCAGGTCTTATTTTTGGAGGAAGCTTTACTCACCTCCGGCACCGACAGCCCCGCCCAGCCGGTCCACTTCTTCTGGGGTCGAAGTTCTGCAGCTGCATTCCGGCCTGTATTTTGCAGTCAGGCCTTTCCGGAAGGCCTCTGCAGCCGAGTACCGAGCTACGGATTCAATCCATAACTCGGTTCTCGGCTGCAGTGGCCTTTCCAGAAATGCAGGCCTGACTAAGAAATGCAGATCTGGCTTTAGAAGATGCCACAGAAGAAGAAGTGGGCCGGCGAGGAAAGGCCTGGCTGCAAGGAAAAAGTGGGTGTGGGGTGCGTTGGTCAGCTCCATACCCCCACATCCCTGCCCTAGCTTGATTTTTAGGTGTGTGCCTCACCCCAAAACTAGGGCTTATTTTGGGGGGTAGGGCTTATATTAGGCCCAACTCCCAAAATCAAGCTAGGCTTATTTTTGGGGTAGGCCTTACTTTCGGGGAAACACGGTACTATCCCCCCCCATCCTAACACACACACACACCCAGAAAAAGAAGGCTGAAAACCCAGACTTACCTTCAGGAGCTCCTTATCGGCAAACGCCATAATACCTTCAAATATAATCACGTTGGCTCCGTAAAGCATTTTCTGGAAGCAAGAATGAAGCATGGAGATTGTCAAAGTTTGATTAAAACGCTTATTGGTTTGTTTGATTTTTTGTTTTTTTATCCCGCCTTTATTCCTTTATAAGTAAGCCTGACTTGGATATAAGAAAGCAAATCACAAGACTGGTTTATTGAGAGATTAATGGAAAGGTTTAAAGCAGGGGTAGGCGACCTTGGCTCTTTTATGACTCGTGGACTTCAACTCCCAGAATTCCCGAGCCAGCCACGCTGAGGGGAAAGGGAGAGGTTTCCAAGCTGAGCCATGCTGGCTCAGGAATTCTGGGAGCTGAAGTCCACGAGTCATAAAAGAGGCAAGGTTGCCTACCCCTGCTTTAAAGTTATTTCGTTGAGCTGGGTCACCGGCTGTGATGGAACGTAGTCTGGATTCCCAGGAGAGAGGGGTTGCATTCCAGAGGAGCAAGAGAGAACTCAGTCTGGATAGTTTGTGTGAGAGAAAGAGGGTGAAGACAACTCCTCCCTATTAGTTCCCAGAGTATGTTTTATGGAAAGCCACCACAGATACGACCCCTTCTTGGTCCTATGAAAGGATCCCCACTCCTAAAGAGGTCCATCTAGCAAGAAGACCAAGAAGAAGGGCCTTCTTTGTGGTGGCTCCCTCCCTCCCTGTGGAAGATCATCCCTGTGGAAATAAGATTGCCTCCCCCCCCCGTTGAAACACTTTTACAAGGCCCTGAAAACGTAGTTTTGACAACAGGCCTGGGGGATCCCAGAGTGGGATGGAGTCCATCAAGTGGCTTGTTTGATTGTGGTTGCTGGGGAGTGAGTGTGTCATTGCTTTTCTATTGTCCTTGTATTCGGCTTTTATCCTTGTAAGTCGCCCTGTGTCACAGAGAGTGAGTTGGCCGGCCATATACAATTTCTTACATAAATAAGACAGCCAGTTTTGTCTAGTGGTGACTGCGAGTTCTAGTCCCACTTTAGGCACAAATGCCAGCTGGGTGACTTTGGACCAATCACCAGGAGACGGTGAGTTCTAGTCCTGCTCTAGGCACAAAAGCCAGCTGGGTGCCTTTGGGCCAATCACCAGATCACTGTGAGTTCTAGTCCCACCTTAAGCACTAAAGCCGGCTGGGTGACTTTGGTCAATCACCAGGAGACGGTGAGTTCTAGTCCCGCTTTAGGCACGAAAGCCAGCTGGGTGACTTTGGTCAATCACCAGGAGACTGTGACTTCTAGTCCCGCTTTAGGCACGAAAGCCAGCTGGATGCCTTTGGGCCAATCACCAGGTCACTGTGAGTTCTAGTCCCACCTTAAGCATGAACGCCGGCTAGGTGACTTTGGTCAATCACCAGGAGACGGTGAGTTCTAGTCCCGCTTTAGGCACGAAAGCCAGCTGGGTGACTTTGGGTCAATCACCAGGTCACTGTGAGTTCTAGTCCCACCTTAAGCACAAAAGCCGGCTGGGTGACTTCGGTCAATCACCAGGAGACGGTGAGTTCTAGTCCTGCTCTAGGCACGAAAGCCAGCTGGGTGACTTTGGGCCAATTTCTCCTTCAGCCCAGCCCACCTCACAGAGTTAATTAAACAAACAAACAAACAAATAAAATTAAAATGGTATGTTGCCCAACTGCCAACCCCTCTGGGCGAATCGCAATAATCAAAACCCAAGAAATTAAAATAATTTCTAATGGAGGGAGAAAGTTGAGCCCAAGAGCTACCTCAGGCAAAGGAGACATGTCACCCTGAAAGGGGGCGGAGCTAAAGACATCAAAGCCCCCCCCCCCTCAGAAGCCGGGCTCACCCATTCCTTCTTGCGGCTGTGGCTGGTGAAGTCATAAATGGGGATCTTCACACTTTTCCCTTGCTTGAGTTTTTTGACAGTGGCGATCATCAGGTCAAAATCGAAAGCATCCGGATGGTCAAAGTTGAAATCGTTGCTGGCCGCCAGTACTTGCTGCTCTTTTGTCAGCACCTGTCACCCACAAAATGATATTCTATTCTCATTCCATTCTATTCTATTCTATTCTATTCTATTCTATTCTATTCTATTCTATTCTATTCTATTCTATTCTATTCCATCTTCTATTCTATTCTATTTTATTCTATTCCATATTCTATTTTTTTCTATTCTATTCTATTCTATTCTATTCTATTCTATTCTATTCTATTCTATTCTATTCTATTCTATTCTATTCTATTCTATTCCATCTTCTATTCTCATTCCATTCCATTCCATATTCCATTCCATTCTACAATCTATTCTATTCTATTCTATTCTATTCTATTCTATTCTATTCCATCTTCTATTCTCATTCCATTCTATTCCATATTCCATTCCATATTCCATTCCATTCCATATTTTCTATTCTATTCTATTCTATTCTATTCTATTCTATTCTATTCTATTCTATTCTATTCTATTCTATTCTATTCCATCTTCTATTCTCATTCTATTCCATTCCATATTCCATTCCATATTCCATTCCAT